TTAGAAAGTCACAATTCTCCCACATGTATTCCGGTGACTGATGTTAATTTTAACACCAAATAATTAGTTGGTTTTTGCTCACTCAATTAAAAACTCTATTAATAGGATCAATTTTCAATTAGTAGTTACTTGCAGAGATGGTATGAAATAGTAAATTATTCACTGAAAAATATTGTACTTTTAAAGGTAATACTAAAGAAGAAAACTTTACAAAGAATGCTAAATGAACAAGGTCCTTGTTTGATCCATGCCCTTGGCCTCTGTGTCACTGAGTTTTATAAAGGAAATAACAAGCAATGCAATAACTCCTGGAATCCAGAGGTATACTTCTATTTATAAAGAAAAGAGCTCCAAATAAGAGCCCCAAAAGATCAGGGCAACATTTAGGGGATTCATTACTCACTACATCACTTACTTTTTACACAAGGTTTCCAAAGAAGGCCTATATTCAATATAAGAAATTTTAGAGAACAAACATGAATTGTGTTGAACTGAAACTAGGAAGGATTTTTTAACCACATGAGACGATAATGCATTTTGGTTAGCAATAGATTCAGTGATAAAGTTAGTGAGAAACACCAGGTGAATTTATACTTATCTTGGTTCATGAGAAAACCAAAATTAACAAATTCTGAGAATTTTTTCCAAGCACAGAAATCCATATGTCTCATACAAAATTAGAGTCCATAGGCTACCATACCAGTTATAAAGGAACTGGAAATAATGACACAAAGGAGTAAATAACATTTTAAAGCAGATTGACCAAAATTATTATTTGTTTTGCATACACATTATAACTCAAAGGTCTTTTTATGTGTTGTGGAGTAATTATATTACATCATTAAAATTTAAGCAACAATATTTTAAAGATAGCTTTTTATAAAGTAAGAAAACTGCTTGCTTCTCTGCAGTAATTATTTCAAAATGGACCCCTCATTTACCTTATCCTTCAACTCCTTGATTTAAGACAAACAGAACTAGCATGGGCATGGAGAAATTGCCAGTACTGCCCCTGCATGCCCCCCACCATTAGAAGGCTTGCCTTTTGCAGGCATCCAGAATGAGTAGGAAGAAACATCCAGACTTGCCCTGCATGTTTGACACCATCTGGACACCTGCTTCCATCAGGTAACCAGCATGGGCAGGGGGAAATAGCCAGGTATGGACTGTGTGCCCACAAAACATCAGAGACGCTTGCTTTGCATGGGCAGCCAGCGTGGAGTGGGAGAGTCACACAAACACACTCCTGTGTACCTGACACCACGGGAGGAGTCCCAGTGTATCCAAAGAGGCTGAGAGGAAAAGCAGCCACACCACTATGCAACCTGGCTTTCAGGGAACCTTGGTGTAGCTGCACAAGTCTAGAAAATCTGTCGCATGCCCACTGCTCCTCTGAGAACCTGGGTTCAGAGAAATCCAGGTGCCTGGCTCAATCCCCTACACTGCAGAGGGGCAGCCAACACAGGAAGTGCCTGGAAATTGGCTTGTTTGGCGGAACCCAGGAAAATGTCAAGACGAAGGAGTGAAAGGCAATCTCAGACTTTCAGCCCCACAGAACAAGTGTGGGAGATAGAGACATGGAAGGAAATGGAAGTCACACACCTGAAATCTCTGAGAGGATCGCAACTGAAGTAAAGAAACAACTTCATGAGACTGCAAGAGTAATCAGATCAGAAATAATATCTCAGATAAAAGAAGAAATTACAAACAATGAAAGAATTACTCAGCATACCTAAAGAAGACATAGATAACAAAGAGGAGCAGAGGAAAATGATGGAAGCCGTGGATAAACAAAATAGAAAGGAATTACAATGTAAGAAACAGATCCCAAGAGATATCCAGGAAGTTAAAAACCTCTTCAACAGCCTGCAAAACCATTTGAAAGATACTGAAGATGAGTTATGAGATCTTGAATGCAGGACTGCAGCTACTGATTGGAAAGAAAATATACCTTAAAAATAATGAGGGACCAGGAAATAAAAATTCAATGGCTGCAAGATGATGAAAGAAATAAATTGATAGTTGTCAGCAAAAAAGCAGGGCCAACACGAATGACAGAAAAAGACTATTAACAAAAGTAATAGCAGAAAACTTCTCAAACATGAGAAAGGACCTGGCATGCAGGTATGTGAGCTATATAGAAGTCCAACTACCTATAACCAAAAGAAATCTACACCTAGACATATAATAATTAAGATCTCTAAAATTCAGTACAAGAGCAGAATATTAAAGGCTATTAGAGGAAACAAAAAAACAGAACACCTGTAAAAGGAAAACCTATCAGAATCACAGCAGACTTTTCAACACAAATTATCAAGTCAAGAAGAGCTTGCAATGAAATGTTTCATATCCAGAAGAAAACAACTTCTGAAACAGACTGACATACCCTGCAAAACTATCCTCCAAAATTGATGGAAAAATAAGACACCTCCATAATAAAAACAACTGAAGGAATTCGTGACCACCAACTAACCCTACAAAGAGTGCTGAAAGATATTCTAGACAGAGAAAGATGACCATGGTTCCAGGAGTAGCAGCAGGAGAGAATTTCCAAAGAAGGCAGACAACTGAATGAAGGAGAAAAGTGAGGGGTCTAGAGCAGGAGGAGAGCATGGCAGATTATAGCCAATGCATGCCAGTGTAACAGTTAACATAAATGGCCTCAACTCACCACACAGGTAGAGTGGACCAAGAAACAAGATTTGTCAATATACTGTATACAAGAAACATTTAACTGAAAAGGAATTTCCTAGACGGAAAGTCAAAGGAGAGAAAAATGATGTTCCATGCAACAAGAATCCACAAAAAAAGCAGGAGTAGCTTGCCCATTAACTGCAGAATGGCTAAGAAAGAAATGGTATTTTCATTGAGTGGAAAACTACTCTCTATAAAGAAGGATAATCTTGAGGCCCTTGTAGGTAAATAGATGCAATTTGAGATCATGCTTATGGGTGAAATGGTCCAGACTTATATGGGTGAATACTGTGTCATCTTGCAGTGTAAAGAACTGAAGGACTTAGTAGAATCAAAAATATACAATAAATATTATGAAAGTTATAGACGAGGAAATGTTTAAAAAGGGAAATTGGTAACCATTGTTAATTTTCTATTATCTTGTTTTGAATTTCTGTATTGTTTTCGTAGTTTTGTTAGGTTTGGTTTTATTCTGTCTGGTCCTATTTCAGTTTTACTGTATCTGATGGTGTGGGCAGCTATGTTGAAACTAATGGAATGTTTTATGGTAGCTATTGTTGGTTTCTTATTATCTTGTTTTGAAGTCCTGTATTTTTTCACTCTTCTATTTTGATTAGCTTTATTCTTTTTGGTTTGGTTTGGTTTTATTTTTGTTAGGATAAAAACATAAAAAGAAATAAGAACACATAGGTAGTTCATTGAAACTATAGTGAAATAAAATAGAAATTCTAAAACATGTTATATCCTCTATACTCTGAAACTTCCATTTTTATGCACGTGTATCAATATTATGCTGTTTCCAATTTGTCTTTATGTATACTAAACTACTAAAAATGATTACAGAATTCAATGTAGACTCCAATACCTCTTATTTACCCTTCTGTACACAAACTGATTTTTGAACTGGGAACATATATCCACATTAATGCGGATTGGTAAATCCTGTCTTTGTCTGTAAATTAGAACATAAAAATGTATTATATATATATATATTTAAACATACTTAGGATCTCTTCAACATGCTTCTTAGGTAGCATGACCTTGTCTTTATCATGTTGTAATAGTATGTTATATTTTTCACAGTTATTTGCTTGCAGTACAAAGCTGTGAGCCTTTGGGAGTAGTTACTTTATGAAAATGAAATGAAATTCAAACTGCTGTATTGCATGAGTATTGGTGATTGCTCAATGTAATAACAAGGCTTATGTCCCTTAATCACCAGTGTGTTCACATTTGGAAATGAGGCCTGTGGGAGAAAATTAGATTTAGAGGAGATTATGAAGATGGCACATACATCATGGGACTCTCGTCCTCATCAGAACAGACAAGAGGACCTTTCATTTTACATCATATTAGGACAGAGCCAAAGGCTGGCTGAGGGGTGGACTGGAAAAGAACCTAAACTGACCACGTGCTGAAACCTCATTTCTGAACTATTGCCTGTCAGATACCATAACTGAGTAAAAAAATGAATTTCTGTTGTTTACATCACCCAGGCTATTATATTTTTGAACTCACTACCTGAAATAAATATAAATTATGTGGCTCTGTTATATAACATGCAATGATACCTTGGTTCTTCACTTATTGAACAGCTCCAAGCTCAAACTTACCATTATTTCAATATCAGTGTTTGAAAAAAAATATGCTGGATATTCTTAATTTTGCTTAATAGTCACAATGAATACCTGATTTGAGAAAATCTGTACTGGTGGAGAATGAGTCACATCTCGTGTCACAGACACAAAGGGTGACACTTCATCTAAGTGATGTTCTCATCCATTCAACATTCAGTGCTTGTGTCGGTGTACTGAATATTTGTCACTGCATTTTTGCATCTCATTTGTGTAAAATGTCATAACTGTGGCCCCACAGAAAGTTAGTAACACCAGCAGTAAGCTAAGAGGAAAACTGACAATCACAATAGAGTTAAAGAAAGAAATCATTGAAAGATTTATTAAAGTCCTGGTAAAATGAATTTATAAGTATAATTTTTAAGCATCAGGACCCATTATTTGGTTTTACATTATTTGTTATGGGAAAAGTGCATTTAATTCTTGAAATTTTTTGTGTTCAATGAAAAATTTGGAACAAATGGAGCTTGATAACAAGTGTCACACAAACACACACACACACACATACACACACACACACATGTACCCACATTAAGCCAAGTTCAAAATATTGAAATAGAATTGGAAAACCACGTCATTAATAAATTCATATTATATCAACTTTGAAAGTCTCTGCCACATAACAATTTACTAAACACCTTGCATATTTCAAAATCTAATAAGAATCAGTACCTATATTCCTCTTGTGTGAAGCGTGGAATTTCTCCAGGATGCAGTACAAGAATTTTCACTGTGGCACTGCTGGACATCACTGGCTCACCATCATCAAAAGCAACAACTACCAACTTAAAAAAAAAAAAAAACCTTTATGTTAAAGATTATAAACACACAGAACATAAAAGCATCACTTGAATCTATATGATATTAATCATTAGGCAGTCTGTGCCCAGCAAGGAGGTGGCAGACATTATGACGGAATGTGCTACAATCTTTACACAGTAATCCAGCCATGTAGGTGTTGTTATCTTATTTGCCAGAAAAAATATTCAAAGAAGTTACTAAATTATCAGAAAGAGAAAAATGTACCAATAAAACATGAATATCTCTCCAGGTACGAATACTTCTACAATTTCTCTGCTCTCTGCAGTAAAGACATTCTTTTATAGTACCAACATTCTTATTTAAACTATATTAAATTCAGTCAAAATCAGTAGGAAAAAGCTAATTAGCTTGCTTACAAAAATAAGTTAATTTTTCCAGTGAATTAATTGTCTTCACGATTGACGGGTGGAAGTACTTCATACTAGAGAATAGAAGTGAAAGTCTTTACAGTTTAACATACTTTGTTATTCAGTCTTTTAAAGCAAACTGTATAAAACTATAAAAAAGTTCATACAGTTAAATGGAAATTACGCCAATGATACAAACTAAAGAAAAGATTTGTTCTCACAACCTGACAGCTATCTACCATTTAGGAGCTGCAATTGCCTTTATAATTAATCATTTTATTTAACAATATATATAATACTAAAAATAATTCTAATGTTTATATTCAAACATTTTAAATATTGTCAAAATTATGAGCTTCCATGGAGTGTATATTCTTTTGGAAGCTGCAGTTTAGCTGATCTAGGTTTAACTAAACAAGTTATTCAATCCAGATAATGGAAACCTATACAAAGATTATCTCAATAGCTACATGTTAACTTTTTGCTTAATAACAGTTGATAAGCAGAACAGTTATTCCAAACAGTGACAAGATCATGTGAGATATAAAACATGATATTCGTTTAACTCTAAAAGATATTTCCCTAGTGTATTTTTCAAGAGTTTTATTTATAGTAACAAAAATTATTTTAAACAACTGTAAGAAATAAAAATGCTCAAATGTGTAATTAAATGTATTACTAGGTGTAATAGATGGCATTTTTCAATTTTTTTGTATGTAGAAACAGGCATTATTTTGGGAACTGTTATAAAATTATCTCAAATTATACAATATATGAAAACAAAAGACATAAAATGTATTACTTCATGAGAAAGTAAAGAAGAGTAAAATTTAAGAAGAATCAAGTAGTTATAAATATTTCTTTGGTAGGTAACACAATACTAAAAAATAAAATATCCAATGTTTAGTGGGATTAGGAAAATGGGAACCTTTTGAAAGTTGGAAATTGTAGGGAGTACTTTTTAAAAATTTCTAGACATATAAAACTTCAAAAGTACATAAACTTGATTCAGCAACTCTGCTTGTGGGTATATATCTTAAAGAAAAAAATAGCAATCAACAAATAACAGAGGTACAAGGAGTTTCACAAAGGCAGATTTTACTTTTAGAAAAAAATCGTTACTAAGCTTTTTATCCAACAAGTTGTTAGATTAAACAGAAAGTCATAATGTTATTCCCATAGAGTGGGAAATAATGAATGCATTAAAATAACAGTGCTACTCATGTTATATGTTGGTATGAGCAATATATTATTGAATTAGAAAATCAAACTTATGCTATTTGAAAACACACTTTTGCATACTTATATCTGCATGGAATATCTTCATGAGAATAGAGATCAATGGTAACATCTTGTCATCTTAAAGATTTAATGTACCAATTGATTATTTTTCTTTTTACTTAACTTACTTTTTCTAAGTTTGTTTTATAGGAAATCATGATTTTTACTTTTAAAAAATTGAAAATAGGAAAAATTGCGAAAAAGTTACACACACTAAGCCAAAATGTCAATCAAACCTTAACTCTGAATGTTAAATAACACCATAAACAAAATGACACACTGACCTTAAAAATTGTTGTAGGCTCTTCATTAAGATTGACACGAGTTATTACTCTTCCAGAATCTTCTTCTACATCAAAAATACTGGCAGGGTAAGGAAACTGTACATCGTCTACTCTGTACCTCACACGACTTGCAGGTAACCCCTAAAATAAAATTATATATTATGAATTTACATTGCAAAATGAATACAAAAGATAATCATAAAATTAAACTCATTTTTGAAATGATTGACTTTTGAGAAGTGTAGGATAATACTTCATGATAATATGTTTTCTGTATTAAAACACCAGAGGGTCTATATTTTGGGTTTTTTAAAAAAAATTTACATGAATAAACTAAATTAATGGTTGCCTTCAGCTTCTTTTCTTTCACTTTTCTTTAACTACAGAAATTATATCTGCTTCTCCAAACACCTAGCCTATCAATATTTTTTCTCTTGACACAATCACAGTATTTTTTAATTGTCATACACAAGAGAATGACAAAATGTGTTAAAGTGAAGGGATGAACATGGAAAGGCAGGAAAACAAAATTATTTTCTACTTACCATGACTGATTATTGTTGACCTAAAATTTTCCCCTTATGGCCTCTTAATATAGGTTTCCACCCAACAAGCGTCCTAGAAACCTAAACTTAAAACACACCATAGCTCCTCAATTTCCCCCTTCCCAGGCTCAAGGTCTGCCCCTATTCCAGTCTTAAATACTGCTGCCTATGTTTCTAAACCCAAATTTGCATCTCTGCTTCAGATTCTCCCGAACACTTTGCCAATTATAAGCCTTCTATCTTGTTTGGTCATTTCTGGACCTTAAATCTACCATAAGGGAAGAAGGGGTGTCCTGTTCACTTGACAATTACCATGCTGAGTGCTTTCATAATCACTGAACCATTACAAAAACACTTTAGAATGACATTAGTAATGAAAATGATTATAATTATAATAATGATAATAGAATAAATGGTATCTAACATTTGTTGAATGTTTTCCATGGAGTAGAATGATAATAAAGGTGATACATGTATGCTCTATCACACATTTTAAAAGTAATGAATTTAGACTTATAAGGAGATAAAGAATCCTGCATTGCTCCAAAGATAAGGCAATATAAAATAGAACATGAAACAAAGGGAAAAATTGATTTTTTAAAGAAAGAAAATACTGTTGAATAAATTTTAAGTAGAATCAAAATCACTATACGGGATCAGTCAAAAGTTGGCTGGATGTTCTCACTTAATTTAGGGCTTAGGTTGGTTTTATTTCAAGTAATACAAGGTGACTACAGGGAGTGCATTATAATCTCTTCAGTTCTTAGGCTTACAAATAAATCTCTTAAGACCTAGAGGTAAAAAACTAAAGCACAGAAACGCATGTGGTGGAGTCTGACTTCAAATCCAGTCATATTACAGCACAAAATTCTTTGCACAAGGGAAAAGATAAAAGCAATTACTTGACACTAGGATCATGTAGCAGAAACAAGGATAACACCCGCATGGGCTTGAATTTGGGTGGACTCAATGGTACCTTACAATAAGTATGATTTTTTAAAATATTTTTTAAAAGGAAAAAGAGGGGGAAAAAAACAGAACAAAACAAAACAGTGTAAGGGCACAAGTAATTCAGAACTACAGAAAAGCAAAAAAACAAAGAACAGGATGCTATTACCAGTTAATAGATTACTCGCTATCATCTTAGAAACGGTGTTTCAGATCACAGGATCAAAGCACACAAAGCGAACATTCAAACAGTGAGACTGCAAGCAGTTGTGTTCAGTAATCGAATCCAAACTATTAATATGGTCTTCTATGCAACACACCTAAACACCCTTGCAGTTGTATCCTTCAGGGCACTTTTCTTTCCCTCTCTTTATTACAACAAAATTTACACATTTTGGGTTTTATTGCTCCCTTAGATCTTATTACTTTTTTTTTGTAAGAGAATAAAATCAAGCATGATAAAACAAAGCTGTCAGTCAAAACCAAGGATAGACATGGCACATGATGTAAAAACAGAGTACAAGGTTATCAACAATGGTTACCGTAATGCCTCTTGTATCCTTAAGACGAATTGTCTATCTCTTTAGGTATTATAGAGTTAAACATAACAGTAGAGAATAAGACCAATAAAACCTAAACGTTGTAAGTCTTACAGCACCTAAAAGAGGATAATAGTCAAACCAAAATGAAATCATAGTGAATCTTACTGCCTTTATAGTAGTTGCCTATACTCTTATATTTGATACTTTCATACAGAGCAGAATAGACCCTATTCAGTCAAAACAAGATAACAGGGGTATTACAGGACTTCAAGTTGAAAGGAAATTTAAAAAGTTACTATAATATATCCTGCTAGATTTTTTATTTTTCCCCTTAGTTTAAAAAAGGAATTTAAAAAATTAAATAATTTTTTAATGAATAAGGGAGAGGATGAGATAAAAGGGTGCATAACAACATAACAATACAGGTTAAAGCATGACACTTTCAGCAACCTAGTGCTTCACCACCAAATAACCTGACTTAATAGTAATTACCATAGTGTCTTTTTCTTTGAAATATTTGAATATAACTTCATATGCTATAGCATCAAACATATCAAGGCTGTGTAAAACCATTCAAATGGATGAAAGCATTGTAGAGTATTTAGAACCAGCTAACACAAAAAATGATCAATGGTTTCTATATTATCTCTTTGCCTATAACAATTTTGTTTATACTACCACATACGATAGAATCTAGCAAGTTACAACATGATAAAATCAATGGAGACAGAAGAGCCATAGTTTGGTGCAGCTTTAAGACAAGATGGTATTAAATCAACACTAGCTATTATGATGTCTTATTTTCTTCAAAGTAGCTGTTCATTGCATCACAGGCCATAATATCAAATAGCCCAGAATAAAGCCATTCCAATTAATGAGTGAAAATTTTATAAGGCTTCAAGGCCACATGGTTATCACGTACTTTTATATATTTGAATCATTTCCTACACTAGGGAAACTATTCGGTGTTCACAGATGGAAGTTTGATTTAGTTCACTTATGAGTATGGATTCAACCTGCACCCATTTATTGATAAATACCTCAATATGATCCTCCTTTATAGCTGAGTAGTACTCCATTGTATAGAAATACTACAGCTTTTTTATCCATTCCTCAGTTGATGGACATTTGGGTTGTTTCCAAGATCTGGAAATTACAAATTGTGCTGCTATAAACATAGGTGCGCATATATCACTGTGGTATGATGCTTTCAGTTCTTCTGGGAAGATGCCTAGAAGTGGAATAGCTGGAACAAATAGAACTTCAATCCCAGCTTTTTGAGAAATCTCCAAACTGACTTCCACAAAGGTTGTACCAGTCTACACTCCCACCAACAGTGTAGGAGAGTTCCTTTTTCCCCACAGCCTCTCCAGCACTTGTTGTTGTTGGTTTTCTTGACCCTGGCCATCCTTTCAGGAGTGAGATGGAATATCAGTGTGGTTTTAATTTGCATTTCCCTAATAACCAATGATGATGAACATTTTTTTCATGTATTTATTTGCCATTTGTATTTCTTCCTCTGAGAAGTGTGTATTCATCTCAGATGCCCATTTTTGGATTGGGTCTTTGAATTTTGGGGGTCTGATTTTTTAAATTCTTTGTATGTTTTAGACAAAAGTCCTTTGTCTGAGGGGGAGTAAACTGGGATCTTTTCCCAATTTGTGGGTTTTCTTTTCACTATGCTGGAGATTTTTTTTTTTTGACTTACAGAAACTTTTTAATAAGAGGTGGTCCCAGTTATTGATTCTGGGAAGTATTTCCTGTGCAGTTTGAGTCCTCTTCATGAATTCTCTACCTACCCCTGTCTTCAAGGTTTCTACCTAATTTGTCTTCCAATAGATTTAGTGTTTCTGTTTTAATATTTAGATCTTTGATCCATTTAGATTTTAATTTAGTACGCGGTGATAGGCTTGGGTCGAGTTTTAGTTTTCGGCAAATGGAGAGCCAGTTTTTCCAACACCATTTATTAAAAAGACTGTCATTTTTCCAATGAACCTGCTTGGCTCCTTTATTGAAGATAAGGTGGTTGAGTGTGTTTGTATCTTCTAATCTATTCCATTGATTCTCTGCTCTGTTTTGATTCCAGTACCATGTTGATTTTACTACTGTTGCTTTGTAGCATAACTTCAAGTCAGGGATTGTGATGCCTCCTGCCTTGCCTTTGTTGCTTAGAATTGCCTTTGATATTCTAGGTCTCTTCTGGTTCCAGATGAACCTTAGGAGTGATTTCTCTAGATCTATGAGGTATGTTGATGGTATTTTTATTGGGATTGCATTGAATCTGTATAACAGTTTTGGGAGAATGGCCATTTTCACAATGTTTGTTCTTTCTATCCATGAACATGGGATGTCTTTCCATTTTCTGAGAACATCTTCAATTTCTTCCTTCAGTGTGTTAGTATGATTTTAAGAATACTTTTCTTTGCCTTATTGATATTCTATGAGACTATATTTGAATGGAATGTACAAGTCTTGCTGATTCAACTCACAACTAACTTATGACAAAAATATTAGCCTCAAGACTTAATATTTTATTTATTATCTGTTAGAAATAGAAATTTGGGGGAAGAAATCAGGATTCCATTTTCAAATATGTCATATTGAAAGTAAAATGGATCATTGGCACTTATATAAATATTTTATTTATTATCTATGAGAAATAGAAATTCAGGGAAAGAAATCAGATTCTAGTTTCAAATATGTCATACTGAAAGTAAAATGGATCACTGACACATAAATTAACATGTACTTCAAAGATTTATAGTTTAGCAAGGATGTCCACATACACTGAATGATATTTAAAATACTCACATATTGCAAGATTATGGCAGTAGAGAGCATTGGAGAATTCTTGAGAAGTGTTATGGATACTTACTGTCAGATCTGATTTAATATATGCAATGTGCCAAAAACAGCTCTTAGTCTGTGGACAGTTCAACAACTAAGGGAGTGTAGAAAAAAAGTTGTATTTACTAGAAACAGCATTCTCCATGTAGACAGCTCTGGACTTGTAACTATGTATAATAGAAACTTTGGCTTTGCTTACCCTGTACATTATTTTAATAGCTTCCTCCACCACTGTTGTTATCATAGTGCCCATTACAGG